AGGGTAGACAGACTTACTAAGGACGATAGACATATAAGATGTGGACGTATGACTAAATATGATGTACGATGGGCAGACATCTGGTGGACGGTAGACAGACTTACTAAGGACGATAGACATATAAGATATGGACGTATGACTAAATATGTTGGACGATGGACAGACATCTGATGGAGGGTAGACATACTTACTAAGGACAATAGACATATAAGATGTGGACGTATGACTAAATATGTTGGACGATGGACAGACATCTGGTGGACGGTAGACAGATACATAGTAAAATACAAACATATGATTTACACTTCACAAAACAAGAAGCAAAAAATGTCTCCATACTATTGGTGTCATCGGCATAACCGTGTCCAGAACAACTCCACCAGAAGTGCGTCCTCTTAGTAAGACCTGGAATTTCCAAGATGACAAATGTGAAGGTGTTTATGTAAATTATCTGGTGTAATACTCGTAGTAAATACGTGTAATAGGAACCCACACTATGTACTAGAAGTCAACAATTACTAATAAATACCGCACTCATGTATAAGTGTAAAAAATATATTACGTATGTTGATTTAAGTAAATATAATAAAGGATGACAAAGATTCATGGACGAATAACTCTTCCTCTTTTTTCTAAAATTCAAAACTGAATTTTTGTTCAGTGACAAAGCAATGTCACAACATTTAAGTGCTATAAACTATTTAGAATGTTTAATGTAGTGAGGAGGTATATAACTCATTTATCATAAAGTAAACACTGAGTACGACGTTATACCAACTACCCTTACAGCACCGCACAAGGACATCGTAACGTTAGACTAACCGAACTATGCGGGACTATCTGTAAAAACTCGAAACATCGGGACTTCGACTCACGAATATTAAACATCGAGATCCTGTTAATAAGACAGAATGTGATTCTTAAAATATGTGACGGATCACGGGCTATCCTGTGCTATTAAAATTACCACGGGCCAGTTTATCGTTCTAGTACATGTGATGATCTCACTTCAAACTTGTTAGTTGCAAATTGTCAATGTTTTCGTAACGAATGGGCCTTGATTATACTTCGATACAGCGAGAAAGTCGAATTATAAAAGTTCGATTCATGAGAAGAATATAAGTAAAGTTATAAAAGGAGAAAATTCTCGACTATTCCGCAACTTCGACACATATTGATTTTATTATTTTACATTGTATGAAAATAGCTTACATATAAAATAACAATATAATTAAGATGAGACTTATTATTTCGCTAACCTACCAATGCACTTCAAAACGTTGTAGGTGGAGTGAAATTACGTGTCTGATTTTAATAAGACTGAGAATAATAGCAGTTTTATGAAGTACATTCTTTCTTTGTCAAATTACTTAATCAGAATCTGGATTAAGAGGTCAGCTGCCTTTATAAGCGACCATTTAAATGGTGTCCGTCACTGACCGCTAAATACAGGACTGAATACCACCGGGACATTTTTTTCTGTGTAATTTGAAATTTTCGGAAAACATTTTTTATTGACTGTCGGGAAAACATATTCATGTGAATATTTAACAGTCTTTAGAAAACGTTTATCTTGTTTACCAAATACAAATACAAGGCGTGGCTTTCCTACAGTATTCATAAGTGTAGCAGTAACCATAGCGGGTGTTTTAGGACGTGTAGAACATTACTCACAGTAGATCATTGCTAATAAGTGATTCTATCTTTTTTTCAACTTTGAAGTAAATGTACGCTTCGCCGACCTTTAATTACCTTAACTTTGATAAATATAAGCAATAAAACGATTTAAATATATATTTGAAACCATCTGCATCGGCATACAGGTAGGTACTTCCCCTTGTGAAGGGTAAACTATCAAATAAGATTTCAGAAAATTTGTCTTATTCATTTTTAACTTCTTTTGTATTTTACATAATTAAAAAAACCATAAGTTTAGGTACAATGTATCTAACAATAGTTTATATTATATTTGATATTTTTCGTGACATCAAGCGTTGTAGCATTAAAACATCGTCGCTATGAATTAACGCAAGATTGAAATTTAAGCTGACAAGACTTTCCAACGCCTAATCAACTTATCGGTGAGTGATTCACAAACATAACAAGAGGACGAGCATCACGTAATGACTTTGCAGATTAAAAAATGAATCCTACTGGACTAGATTATTATCTCATTAACAATCGTGTAATGAACGTTTCGATACGCCATCATAGGCTCGGTTTATCTGATTTGCGTCAATAATTCCTGTATCATCAGGTGTAGAGCGTGATTTTCGTGTCAGAAAGTTCCCACGCTAAGGTACGATTATACGCTAGGTGCACCCGCACCTGGGTAGATATAAATAGATACTTGGGTATTCCACTGTAAACAACTAGTATTTTGTTGATGTAATGATGATGTTACATTCTATAACTTCTTGTTCCGGAAGTGATGCAGCATTTATAAGTCCTATAGATTATCTATAATTTGGGTGTGGTTATTTTCGCCAATAAGTACTGCAGCTTATACACATTTTGGGTTGTTATTTTCGCGTGAAGTACTACAAATTATTAACTTTATTGTAGGGGTAACTTTGTGTGCGGTTATTTTCACGTGTAATTATACAATGTTAGTACAGTAGATTATAGAAATTATGAGTTATTTTCACGTTTATGACTACAGGTCATCTACAGTTTGGGTGCGGTTATTTCCAAGTTAAAAGTATTACAGATTATCTACAAGTTTGGTGTGTTCTTTTTCGCCTGTAAGTCCTGCAGATTATAACTACAATTTGTGTAATTATTTTCACAGATTCGTAACAATAACAGATTTGCATCCAATGAACACCTATACAATTGTCAGGGGCGGGTCCAGGTGAGGGCGTAATGGGCGTACGCCCCCCCCCCCCTTTTCAAAACAATAAATAAAAAAATATCGTAATCTGCTAATATTGTATTGAATATGGCAATTTATCATATTCATTAATTAAACACATATACACCCTGACACTTTAACTATAAAATATACATACTCCAAGTCAGGAACCGTTACATTAGTGCATTTCACAATTATTTTATGTTTTTTAGCAAAAAAAAGGTCCAAACATTTTTTGGCCTCGCTCCGCTCGGCGACAGATTTGATTCTACGCCCCTCTTTCAAATATCCTAGAAATACCTCTGATTGTAGTGGTGTGTACTACATGTACAGTTTATGATGTATTTGTCTAATGTTATGTTTACCAATGATTTAGTGTTCAACAGCTATTTAAAGAAATGTATAAAATACTGTGATCATTTTCAACCCATGTTCCCTTGAACGTAAGGGCCGTTAGTTAGTATATAAGGTTGACGAGCTCAAGGCGTTTCAATTTGTTCTGACCATATGAGGCAACACAGTATGATGTAAATTAAGTTACAGATCTGACCTGTCTTTTAGTTTACGTTTAATGGTACCAGTAGTTTTCTATCCGATACAGAGACTGTATGATCCTCTACACCATACTCCAACATTTCCAATAATTATAAGCCGTAGGTACTAAACTGGCTAAAATGTTTGCCTTAACTTGACCAGAAACATGAAATGTTTAAGGAAATCAGAGGCGGTGGAGGTCTTACTGCTATATGGACTCTTAACAGTAACTCGGAAAAACAACACCTGGTCTAGGTAATCAGTGAAACATTTTCACCACGTGAAACTTAAGAGTCTAAATGGCCCACCAAAACAGAAGTCTCAGCAGTCACGTTGGATTTATTATCTCTACAACTGGTAACTACATTTGGTCAGAGCTATGGAGTCTTTATTGAGTCATAAGATCAGTTGAGTTATTGAGTCTTTATATCAGAAGAGTTATTGAGTGTTTAGATCAGGGGAGTTATTGAGTGTTTAGATCAGGGGGGTTATTGAGTGTTTAGATCAGGGGGTTTATTGAGTGTTTAGATCAGGGGAGTTATTGAGTGTTTAGATCAGGGGAGTTATTGAGTGTTTATATCAGGGGAGTCATTGAGTGTTTAGATCAGGGGGGTCATTGAGTGTTTAGATCAGGGGAGTTATTGAGTCTTTAGATCAGAGGAGTCATTGAGTGTTTAGATCAGGGGAGTTATTGAGTGTTTAGATCAGGGGACTCATTGAGTGTTTAGATCAGAGGGGGTGTCATTGAGTGTTTAGAAAAGGGGAGTTATTCAGTTCTTAGGTCAAAATTTTCTTTATAGATATATTTTTAGAAATTTGTCTATAAAGAAAATTTTGAGGAAAAGACTGAATAACTCCCCTTTTCTAAACACTCAATACCCCCCCCCCCCCCCCCCTGATCTTAACACTCAATAACTCCTCTGAACTAAAGACTCAATAACTTGCCTGATCTGAAGACTTAATAACTCACCTGATATAAAGACTCAATAACTCAACTGATCTTAAATGTTTTCTAGGAGCTCTTGTAGGAAAACATTGTTGTGAAATTAAGAAAATTCAATGATTACATGTTGAATATTATTAATATGTTAGTCAAACTATATTACACCTGCTCTCCCATAACAAATGCCCTTGGCACATAAGAATTTTCAAAAATTAGCATAATTGCAAAAACTTTCACTATTCCAAATAACAACCATGAAACACACCTTAATCAAGTACTTCTTAGACTTTCAGTAGTTTTTGAGTCCATAAGTTATGATAATGAAGGAATGCTAAAAAACCCAAAAACAAAACAAAACAAAGGTGCTTATAAGAGATGGGGCACTTGGTAAGTTAGTTAGTTGCTTAATGGTCTAGCAAGGGTAAGTCTTTCTACCAAACCAATTTCTGAAGTCCTACGGCACTTGCACTGCTATTCATTTTATCTCTTGACAAATCTATACAAAATACCCACATCATCTTTAGTACACTCAGGTCACGCTATTCTTCTCACATCACCAAGTAAAATCTGTCGTCTTATGAAATCTAAACAACATTTAGTGAAAATCCATTGACTATCCTGTACAGTTTTATCAATCATCAAACAGCAAGGAAGACAAATGCAACTAAAAACATTTTTTGGTCACAAATTTATTTACATGGTGAAGTAACAAGCACTGGCAAAAACACACTTAACGTATAATGTTTTCCATTCATTAACTATCGATACTTCACTGTCAACAGTTTACTTTTATATCAAAGTCTTCGTACAATAAAACTTGCTCCTATAGTTTTCTAACTCATGATTTAGCTTCTGGTTCTTTTGGGGCCGGTGTCTCTGGATCTCCCTCTGTGAGTCGGAATTTAGGGAATGTTTCCCATGGACTACTGTACTCAAACTTTCTAAACTCCTGGGCTAACTCCAATGGCTCTACCACAACACGTCTCTCTTCATCATCATATCGGACCTGTAATGAATATAAAGGGTCAAATCATGAGATCTCTCGTACCACTGGGATAGGGTATGATTGAGAAATGCAGAACAATGAGATAGATCATGATCCAGGAAAAAACTCACTGTATTTACCATCGTTAAATTAAAGCCAGAAACAAAACTTTCTAAAGTGTACTGACGAAGTAATGTCAATAAAAAATAAACATTCTTAATGTCGTCAACGACGCAGATCACACACTTATAGAAGGAAGGGGGATAACTCTTCTTTGAAAAGACATACCAGCCCAAGCAGTTGAAGGTCAAGCCAAATGCAACATACCAGGAAAAAATACATGGTAACAGCATTTCAAGTAACTCTTGCATACATGTATAGGGAATTATTCTACAGTCACTTTATAATATTCCAAAAGCAGTGAAGTGGACTTTAATATGTGTCGTCACTAGGAGAAATGAGTGATGTCAGAGATAGGATAAAATAAATATCTAAATATCTTGGATGTAAACAGCGTCAGTAGTACCAATAACATACCTCAACATAACCTGATAGTGGGAAGTCTTTCCTAAATGGATGACCTTCAAACCCATAATCAGTCAGGATCCTTCTCAAGTCGGGGTGGTTGGCGAAAAACACACCGAACATATCCCAAACCTGTAACACAACACAAGAGATTATCAAGTTTGATCTAGCTTTTTGATGTCATGCACTTGTTTTTCTTGTTTTTTTTCTTTAACAGAATATAAGAAAAGGTTTAATTCTACCTTGCACATAGTACAAGTTAATTCTAAACTATTGTGTCAGAATTATCTCCCTTGAGGAATACTATCTTAAAAGGCACACCATTTTGTGAACATATTAAATATGTCACCAATAAACCAAGTTCATATCATTATCAATTAAAGACAGCTTTTGAAAAGAAGGTGCATTTGCAGTGAGATGACACTTATCCTTAAATGGTTTAGTAGTGAGAAACATCCCCAAAGAAACTGTATTTTTTCTGGTGGCTTTTCCAACATTCTCTTATTTTATATAGAGTCTGAATGATTGACATCAGTGTCCATGCACAATACATTTTTCAGTACGACTGTCAACAATTACTGTACATATTCAGCAGGTTATAATTAAGTGATAAAGTGTAGATATAAGTGGAATATATAACAACATCAGACAAGATACAAAGGAAATCACAACCAACTGTTTAAATGACTAGACATTTACAAGGTGAGGAATGAAATCTTACTTCTCGTTCCATCCAATTAGCGCCATGAAACTCTGAGGTGATAGAATCGACAGGCGTGAGTTCGTCTGTGTAGGACCTGACTTTGATTCGGGAGTTGAAGTGCAGCGACATGAGCATGTATATCATCTAAAATAGAACATGTCAACATTGTCACAAATAAAATTATCACCATTACCACAGGTAAAATATCACTGTTTACCACAGGGTAAAATAGTTAACATATTGCCACAGGTAAAATATCACAGGGTAAAATAGTCAACATTACCACAGGTAAAATATTACTGTTACCACAGGGTAAAATAGTCAACATATTGGCACAGGTAAAATATCACTGTTTACCACAGGGTAAAATAGTCAACATATTGGCACAGGTAAAATATCACTGTTTACCACAGGGTAAAATATCAGTTTACCACAGGGTAAAATATCAGTTTACCACAGGGTAAAATATCAGTTTACCACAGGGTAAAATATCACTGTTTACCAAAGGGTAAAATAGTCGACATTACCACAAGTAAAATATCAGTTTACCAAAGGGTAAAATAGTCAACATATTGCCACAGGTAAAATATTACTGTTTACCACAGGGAAAAATATCACTGTTTACTACAGGGTAAAATAGTCAACATATTGCCACAGGTAAAATATCACTGTTTACCACAGGGGAAAATATCACTGTTTACCACAGGGCAAAATAGTCAGCATATTGCCACAGGCAAAATATCACTGTTTACCACAGGGTAAAATAGTCAACATATTGCCACAGGTAAAATATTACTGTTACCACAGGGGAAAATAGTCAACATTACCACAGGTAAAATATTACTGTTTACCACAGGGTAAAATATCACTGTTTACCAAAGGGTAAAATAGTCGACATTACCACAAGTAAAATATCAGTTTACCAAAGGGTAAAATAGTCAACATATTGCCACAGGTAAAATATTACTGTTACCACAGGGGAAAATAGTCAACATTACCACAGGTAAAATATCACTGTTTACCACAGGGGAAAATATCACTGTTTACCACAGGGCAAAATAGTCAGCATATTGCCACAGGCAAAATATCACTGTTTACCACAGGGTAAAATAGTCAACATATTGCCACAGGTAAAATATCACTGTTTACCACAGGGTAAAATATCAATGTTTACCACAGGGTAAAATATCACTGTTTACTACAGGGTAAAATAGTCAACATATTGCCACAGGTAAAATATTACTGTTTACCACAGGGTAAAATATCACTGTTTACCACAGGGTAAAATAGCACTGTTTACTACAGGGTAAAATAGTCAACATATTGCCACCGGTAAAATATTACTGTTTACCACAGGGTAAAATATCACTGTTTACCACAGGGTAAAATAGTCAACATTGCCACAGGTAAAATATTACTGTTACCACAAGGTAAAATAGTCAACATTACCACAGGTAAAATATCACTGTTTACCACAGGGTAAAATAGTCAACATATTGCCACAGGTAAAATATTACTGTTACCACAGGGTAAAATAGTCAACATATTGCCACAGGTAAAATATTACTGTTACCACAGGGTAAAATAGTCAACATTACCACAAGTAAAATATCACTGTTTACTACAGGGTAAAATAGTCAACACACAGTTACTACAGTTACCGTAATACATGAAATATTTATACCATTAATACACCAATCTATTAATGATCAATGAAAAAACTAGAATTATGTCAGTGTGACATTACAGCCGCTCACCACTTTAAATTTAATTGCTTCACTGACACGTTGAGCATAAAAATCTACTATAATAACTCAGATATGTGTTCTGTATTCTGCTAATTGAAAATCAGGTCATCTGATGATGTTGCGTTTAGGATTTTCAAAATCAATCACCTCTTAAATGATGCCTTCAAAACATTTCTCTCTCTCCTCTTTTTTCACCCTCTTTAAGTGTGACGCATTGTTGTAATTTTTATTAATTAGCATCGTCCAATGATGTGACATGAGCGTTTACGTGCAGAATGGCAATCGGTGAATGGATAATAAAGAATAGGTGCATTTTTTGCTTGTGAAATGAAGGATAATTAACAGTAGTGGGAAAACATGCATGGAGAAAAGAGACATTGTACTCCTTTTATTTTTATTTATTTTTTATTCATATTAGTGAAAATTATTAATATTTGTAGCGACTATATTTACCGTCATTGAATATACAAAATCTCACAAATGTTCTTGGAATATATTTGAATTATATTTCCCAATGCGACTTTACCAACGTAAGAGTTATTTCCCTTACACCCAATTGGATACTATTTTGACACGGCGCGAATTCTTGTCAAACAGCAGCGGCAGTTGTGTCATGTTCTTAAATTGTTACACTTTCATAAATAAATACACCAGAAATAGCATGCTGTGTTACAAAAATGTTTGATAAGCATACACAGTTCACATATCGTCTCGTCTCGGAGCCATTAGTCTACCGTTATCAACCTAAGCACTATATGGCATATATACGTTACCGTTTCAAACATCAAAATCGAGTTTATACTTCATCACTCATACGGTTTATAAGTTTATATATTTACTTCTTCCTTATACAGACAGCGTCAATGCTTGACAGTCTTCACATGTGCTTTCTCGAATCATATGTGTTTCACACTCGTAACACTCCCCAGACCGCAATCTGAGTTGCTAAAACGCTCAAACCTAGTGCACAAATTTCACCACCACAACACTCGTAGAATGCACCGGAGATAAACATTTTGTTTTCAGCAATTATTTAAAGTATGGATTAAAATTTGGAGAAGAGTATCAGAAGACTTTATGTAACCCACAGGTGAGTGTCAGAGATTCTACTTTCTATTTACGATAACGAAACTATATAGCGGAAGCATGCAATACTGAATTATGCGCACGCACCCCGAACGGAAGTGGGTCCGTCATTTCGTTCTCTGGACAGAATTAATAAGCCGCTCGGCTCTCGCCAAGAGCGGCTTAAAAAGTTAGTGTTTCATCTGTCTAGGAGGCTACATTTTGCATAGTGATGTGTACATGTATCACCACTGTCTAGCCACGAAGTCCAGAATTTAAAAATCTTTCCCCTGGAATTGAGATTTCCTGTCAGACTCTTAAAAAAATATATATATTCCATGCCAGTAGGTCACCAATCAAAATGTCAAATGTCAGGGAGCTACACAGTATGTCCAAGTCCTGTGTCAAATTAAATTCCACATTTTCCCTACATATTTTAACCCCAGGTCTCGCGTAAAACTTTGAAGTCTCTATGATAGTTCACTGTTATTGAGTTTTATATGTATACAAGGGAAATACTTATGGTGGCATTATTAGCAATAAGATAAATCTGCAAATTCAAAATGTAAAACTAATATCAAAATTGTTTTAAGCAGTGCACACCTCAAACCTGTACTTGCGTGTAGGCACATCCATTGTAGTTATATCTATGATGTTTAGGAACTGGCCAGTGTGATGGTTCTTTAAAAAGGAAATAGTTGGAAAGATTCCTTCAGGGTGGACCAGAATATCCAGTTCATCTCCAGCAGAAATCCGGACTTCCTGTACAAATTTAGGAAGATTTTCTGCTACATAATGTCCAAACTTTTCCAACTGAGCTATCTCCACTGTCTGTGCAACGTTTTTTATTGTCGCTGCAAACAAAACAAAAAGTAGACATAGTTTTGTGAATTGGTAGAAGAATTGGAGCTAAATAAAAAGCAACATGTATGTTTCCAAACAACCTATCACCTTCATCAGAAATTTTAAGAGAACTTTTTGGGGATATTATCAAGGCTATGCACAATGATCAAAACTGAAATTTGACAAATAATATTGTCTGCATAGTAAGGTATCACCTAAGTGCCTCGCTTAAATATACGGTAAAGTAATTCTAAACTGCCACACAAATTTGGCATAATAAAACTTAATGCTGAAAAATTATGTCCTTGTGATGTTAATAAATGTAATAAATCGTAGAAGCCAGGATTTACAAATGATCTCCACATATTTCAGCACGATTGGCAGGATCCTAGTTTATGCTAATATGCATAGTCCAGTATGTATTTACTAAGCTTTCATAAGCACATCTGCATTTGTTTAATAGTATATCATGAAAAACTTTTATAGACGCACACAATTATCTACAAAATCATTTAGGATATGAATGGACATTTAAGGCATGAAACAGCTCAATTCTTACGCTTCAGTGATTCTCCAGCTGTCGTACTGTCAAATCTAACATGTTGCAGAGCAGCTGTTGCTCGTCTTGGCACTAAAACAGTAAAGAAAACATTCTTATTTATGTTTATGATAAAGTTTCAAAACAAAGTATTATTGAAATGGGATTTCAAAACTCCTATTATCAAATGTTTTTATAGCTTTTCAAAATCATCACTACTAATTTAGTGTTATGTAGTATAGGCTACAGTGTATTACAATACAAGCAACTTTGTTATTTGGCCTCGGGGGGGTGGGGGGGGGGGGGGGGGGGGGGGGGGGATTTCTGCAAAAAATATATTTTGTTTTGCATTTTCATGTGGTTGAATGTGCATGTCACTTTTTTGACATCTCGTCGCAATGATGATGACACTTTTCTGCCATATTGTGATCAACTCACTAAAACTATATTGCTTGAATTCTTTTGGTAACATTCATAAGAAGTTGAGTGTTTTTTGAACAACAGCGGGGATGTAAGAGTCAGTAGCAGCCCCTGTGTATTGACAAATCAAATTAGATTGTTCCTTGCCTTAAATAGTACTTTTTGTGTTTTTATTGGTACTACCCCCCCCCCCTCCCCCCCATCAACTTTATTTAATTTTCTCGTGTGCGAACTGCCTGTGTTCCACAAAGTTTTCGTGTTTGTTGATTATGAATATTTCTCCAAACACCCTCAGAACTTATCTGACGAAAAAAAAGTAAGTTAATAGGATTTTTTGTGTGCATATTTTTGGTATTTGTACAGTCTGAGTACACTTATTATTATTTTTTAACAGGATTAAATTCACGAGAATTTTCAATTGAAAAACAAAAACATACACAAATAGGTCATATTCAGGAAATCTTACTTTGACTACATCGAGCCAGTCCTGCAACCGCAGGCCGAATCAGCCTGCAAAGTCTTGACGCCATCTTGCCAGTGACCTTCGCTGGGAGCAGTCATTGAAAAGACAAAGGCGATTATTATTTTTCTCTCTAACATTTTTAGCATATACCATAATATTAACATATAATAATCTATTATTTTATGTTAGAACGAATGTGAATAAAACTATTATAAAACAGTTTATGAAATGTCTTTATAAACTATATTAATTAATGGAGACTCCCGTCAATATTCACTTCCTGTAGCAGAAGAGTTCCAATACAGAGCCTGTGCATGTGCGCTTCTCGTCGGTTTGTATATATATGCTTTTGTGTTTGTATGCAGACGCTTTCACAATGAACGAGAGCTACCCTATAAACTATGGTTGACAAAAATTTGCATCAGATCCTTCATAAGAGCGTCATAATAATGCAAAATGATACACAAAACCGCACGCCAAACAACATTGTCTGTATCCCTTAAGCTTCTGATAGAAGATAGCTGATAGATTATGTATATATTATATATGGGAGTAGGCCTTCGTCTAAGACAAGTTGGACTTAACCGCTTATGTGATATGGGTGACAATCCTTCATATGGGCACAGGAGCCTTACATGTTGTCAAAAATTAATAATAACAGTAATACAAAAATATACCTATATGCTGCTTTTTTAAGCATATTATAGGTATTTTTCACAGGCTGCTTTGATATGGATAACAGTCAGTTGACATCATATCATATATATACAATTGTAGGTCCTTGGTTTCTGGAATATATATATATCCAATATATTTAGGTATCGCACATCACTATGAATCTGTAAAAGATATCCATTGATTAGGTTGCCTTACAAGCAAGCGTCAGCTGTATATTTCTTCTTTAATTTCAGATGTGATCTTCTCCTGATGATGTAACATATCTTTATACTAAGAATTACACTGTAGAAGCAAGAAATGTGACTACCGGTATGTTAGGTAATTAAATGAGCATTTTTGGAGATCAGAGTTGACTGTATCGTGTCATGTCTGGGATGGAGCGTCAGACTAGTACAGAGAAGCTGGCCTTTGTGTCAATGCTGTCTGGGGAGTTACAGGAGGTGCCTGAACATGCCAGGGTAAGAATTTGAAGTTATGTATGTAGACCACTAACAAAATAAACAGAGTATTTTCCTTCCAATAATTACCAGTAGTATACCATCTAGGTCTGTGTACATTATGTATATAAGGTAGATCACCAATGTCTGTATAGTTAACTCATTCACCCCTGAAGACACATTTGATTTCTTCTAATTCAAAGGTTGGAATAGTTCATTATGAAATTTCAGGGGTGAATGAGTTAACATGGTTAAGGCTATCTGGTTACAAGTCACTGAACTTAGTTTTAATTAATTGCTGAATTTGCATGATATACCTGATATAGATGTGACAAGATCTGCACAATCAAATCCCTTCCTCCACTATTAAATGAAATAGAATAACTGATGGGGTATAAATGAGATCTTTTATCAATTTAAATTCTAACAAAATCATTACTGCAGATATTTTCTACACATGCATATATTGATATATTCATTGTAAACTGTACCTATATATTTTTTGTCACAGTTAGGAAAATGCAGAGGTGTGACAGACTTTGAGAAGCTGAGCAGAGTTGGAGAAGGCACTTATGGAATTGTTTGTAAGTCTTCAACAGATTTCATTTAATTGAATGATTATCTTATGAGATTGTGGCTATTCCCCCAAAAGATTTATTTTTTATTTTTCATTTTTTTAAACCGTTGATGCCCACGGTGTTAAAAAATGTCATCTTTATTTAATAAACATTAAAAGTGTTCGTCATTTGAAAACACTAGTACCCTGTATAGTTATATAAATCATATAGAAAAAAGTACTGGACCCATTTTACTACCTATGTTTAGTTAAGCTTAATATCATAGGCCTAGAATGACCTTTTCATGTTGTGTGACCTGCCTGTCTTAATTCTTACGTTTTTGTGAGTTGGATATTCAGACTTGCAAACCCTCCCTGTTAACAGAGACGTATAATACAGAGATTGGCAACTTGCTCTTGGCCTTACCATTGGTCACTGGTATCGAGAGTTACGCTTCACCTGCGCCATATTGGATATGCGGTTCGCTGCATTCAACTCAAATCATAATTATGCCATGAGAAAACATCGCAAATCAACGTAACATTAAAACCGTACGTAGCTACAAAATGTAGCTGAGATTTCCATGCGGTTTGGGAGTGCTACATTGAATGTAAACTTGAATGATTAAGTTTAGAAAACCCCAAACATCGAAAGATTGCACATCGTGGCTGTGTTTACATATCGGTAATTATTCTGGCTTCAGGATAACACTATCTCCGTTTTTGTTCTTTAGACAATTTCAAAAAAGTTTTCAGAAATTAATTATATGATAATATTTCTAACCAGGAAATTTAAATGAGGTTGTTACAATACTTGCAAAGTTTCATAATTCAGCTGTGAAAAGACAGGTTTTTCTGAGAAATCAAGTTAAAATGGCGGCTCTGATTTTGAGGGTTATTTCTATCATGACAAATTTTGAACACTATCTCCGTTTTTTTTCTTTAGACAATTTCAAAAAAGTTTTCAGAAATTAGTTATATGATAATATTTCTAACCAGGAAATTAAAATGAGGTTGTTACAATACCTGCAAAGTTTGATAATTGAGCTCTGAAAATACACTTTAAAATAACCATGTGAAAATGGCGGCTGTGATGTGCGAGAGTTAATTCCTTTCATGACACCGGCACTCCTTTCTCGTTCATCTTTTTATTTCAAAAACGTATTCAGATATAACATTATATTTCTAACCAGCTTCTTTATATGATCCATATATCTAGGATAAGTGACATGTTGACACGAACTAACGAATACACGATCGAACTCTCACACAGGTAACTCACTGACCAGACTATCGTCACCAGGTCGATAAGCTGTCAAAACAAACACTCGTAGATCATGCGTGATTTTGCGAGATCAGCGAGAGTTGCCAATCTCTGTATTTATACGTCTCTGCTGTTAAGGAGGGAAACTCCTGATTTTGGGCCCTTAAAATTAGCATTTCCAACCAGTGAATTTGCTAAACTCATCCTATATTCAAAGATCTGATGATTTCACCTCAAAGAACAGCTTAAAATATGTTATACTAAAGGGTTCTTTTGACCCTAGGGAGTATATCCATATTTTATTTTTGTTTTTAATTTTGAGCATGCAGAATCTCCCCCAATTTGTTTACTGATATGTAGTTGTTGACATCAGATATGACATTATTGTCTACAGATAAAGCCAGGGACATCAGATCTGATGCTACTGTTGCCTTAAAGAAGATGAGGATGGAGAGAGAAAAAGATGGTGAATATATGAACTGACATCAGCAGACCGTAGTCAGTTCAATAATTATTTGATCTATCATCAGATTTCTTTTCATACGCAAACAAATATTTACTTGTCCATTCAAGAGACAGATAGAAACTGCAGTCGGACCTCTTTAACTGGAAGTCGACAGGGTCATGAGAAAACTTTAAGTTATTCATGTATTTGAGTTATGTGGGTTCATATATTTGGCATGAAATTTGCTGTTTGGGCATTGCACTAGCAGTCGTTGATTTTTATTAATAGCCATTGCGTATAAGCAATCGATGACTGATATATGTAATTGATATAACAAATACATGTTTGTAAATTTACAACAAACACGCTTACAAAAATAGAGTAAGGTATTTCTGAAAAAAAAGTACTTTTGTTAACACGATCAAAACAGTTCGAATTATCAGAGTTTCATTTACTAAGGTAAATAAGAGATTTGCCCGGGACCGGAGAAATGCTTCGAGATTAACGGGGTCTTCGAGTTAAAACAGTTTAAGATAATGAAGTTCAACTGTATCTTAAAAATATCCAACTCCCCCAATGCATTTAATTTAATTGAGCAGCTCTGTATGAATTACACATTTTTATCCCCTCCCTATGTTTGAAGAACAGGCTTACTCCTATGTGATATTTCATGCGTAATTCCAGAATTTGTCAATATGTCATTAATTTTTAAATAACCTAGGGTCTATTGCGAGGCAATAAAGCAAACACATGACATGGTTTTTGTAAGGATTCCTATCAGTGGACTAACATATGACATGTTTTTTGTAGGGATTCTTATCAGCTGACAAACACATGACATGGTCTTCGTAGGGATTCCTATCAGCGGACTAACACATGACGTGGTTTTTGTAGGGATTCCTATCAGTGGACTAACACATGACGTGGGTTTTGTAGGGATTCCTATCAGCGGACTAACACGTGACATGGTTTTTGTAGGGATTCCTATCAGCGGACTAACACGTGACATGTTTTTTTTGTAGGGATTCCTATCAGCGGACTAACACATGAAATGGTCTTTGTAGGGATTCCTATCAGCGGACTAACACATGACGTGGGTTTTGTAGGGATTCCTTTCAGTGGACCAACACATGACATGATTTTTGTAGGGATTCCTATCAGCGGACTAACACATGACATGGTTTTTGCAGGGATTCCTATCAGCGAACTAACAAATGTCATGGTTTTGGTAGGAATTCCTATCAGCGGACAAACAAATTTCCTTTCAGTGGACCAATACATGACATGATTTTTGTAGGGACTCCTATCAACGGACTAACACATGACGTGGTTTTTGTAGGGATTCCTATCAGCGGACTAACAAATGACATGGTTTTGGTAGGAATTCCTATCAGCGGACTAACATATGACATGGTTTTTGTAGGGATTCCTATCAGCAGACTAACATGTGACATGGTTTTTGTAGGGATTCCTATCGGCGGACTAACAAATGACATGGTTTTGGTAGGGATTCCTATCAGCGGACTAACATATGACATGGTTTTTGTAGGGATTCCTATCAGCGAACTAACAAATGTCATGGTTTTGGTAGGAATTCCTATCAGCGGACTAACATATGACATGGTTTTTGGAGGGATTCCTATCAGCAGACTAACACATGACATGGTTTTTGTAGGAATTCCTATCAGCGGACTTACACATGACATGGTTTTTGTAGAGATTCCTATCAGCGGACTAACACGTGACATGGTTTTTGTAGGGATTGCTAGCAGTGGACTAACACATGACATGGTTTTTGTAGGGGTTCCTATCAGTTGAATAACACGTGACATGGTTTTTGTAGGGATTCCTATCAGCATGGTTTTTGTAGGAATTCCTATCAGCAGACTAACAAATGACATGGTTTTTGTAGGGATTCCTATCGGCGGACTAACACATGACACGGTTTTTGAAGGGATTCCTATCAGCGGACTAACAAATGAAATGGTTTTTGTAGGGATTCCTATCAGCGGACAAACACATGACATGTTTTTTGTAGGGATTACTATCAGTGGACTCGCAAGTGACATGGTTTTTGAAGGGATTCCTATCAGCGGACTAACAAATGAGGGATTCCTATCAGTGGAATAACACGTGACATGGTTTTTGTAGGGATTCCTATCAGCGGCCTAACACATGACATGGTTTTTGTAGGGATTCCTATCAGGGGACTAACACGTGACATGGTTTTTGTAGGGATTGCTAGCAGTGGACTAACACATGACATGGTTTTTGTAGGGGTTCCTATCAGTTGAATAACACGTGACATGGTTTTTGTAGGGATTCCTATCATCAGTGGAATAACACGTGACATGGTTTTTGTAGGGATTCCTATCAGTGGACTAAGACATGACATGGTTTTTGTAGGGATTCCTATCATCAGTGGAATAACACGTGACATGGTTTTTGTAGGGATTTCTATCAGCGGACTAACAAATGACATGGTTTTTGTAGGAATTCCTATCAGCGGACTTACACATGACATGGTTTTTGTAGAGATTCCTATCAGCGGACTAACACGTGACATGGTTTTTGTAGGGATTTCTATCAGCGGACTAACAAATGACATGGTTTTTGTAGGGATTCCTATCAGCGGACTAACACATGACACGGTTTTTGAAGGGATTCCTATCAGCGGACTAACAAATGACATGGTTTTTGTAGGGCTTCCTATCAGCGGACTAACACATGACGTGGTTTTTGTAGGGATTCCTATCAGCGGACTTTTCAGTGGACTAACACATGACATGGTTTTAGTAGGGATTCCTATCAGCGGACTAACACATGACATGGTTTTTGCAGGGATTCCTATCAGTGGAATATAACGTGACATGGTTTTTGTAGGGATTCCTATCAGCGGACTTACAAATGACATGGTTTTTGTAGGGATTCCTATCAGCGGACTAACACATGACATGGTTTTTGTAGGGATTCCTATCAGCGGACTAACACATGACATGTTTTTTTGTAGGGATTCCTATCAGTGGAATAACACGTGACATGGTTTGTGTAGGGATTCCTATCAATTCCTATCAGCGGACTTACAAATGACATGGTGTTTGTAGGGATTCCTATTTTTGTAGGAATTCCTATCCGCGGACTAACACATGACGTGGTTTTTGTAGGGATTCCTATTTTTGTAGGAATTCCTATCCGCGGACTAACACATGACGTGGTTTTTGTAGGGATTTCTATCAGCGGACTAACACATGACATGGTCTTCGTAGGGATTCCTATCAGCAGACTAACACATGACGTGGTTTTTGTAGGAATTACTATCAGCGGACTAACAAACGACATGGTTTTTGTAGGGGTTCCTATCAGCGGACTAAAAAATGACATGGTTTTTGTACGAATTCCTATCAGCGGTCTAACACATGACATGGTCTTCGTAGGGATTCCTATCAGCAGACTAACACGTGACATGGGTTTTGTAGGGATTCCTTTCAGTGGCCCAACACATGACATGGTTTTAGTAGGGATTCCTATCAGTTGAATACCTCGTGACATGGTTTTTGTAGTAATTCCTATCAGCGGACTTACACATGAATATGTTTTGGTAGGGATTCCTATCAGATCAGCGGACTTACAAATGACATGGTTTTTGTTCGAATTCCTATCAGCGGAATAGCACATGACGTGGGTTTTGTAGGGATTCCTATTTTTGTAGGAATTCCTATCAGCGGACTAACAAATGACATGGTTTTTGTTCGAATTCCTATCAGCGGACTAACAAATGACATGGTTTTTGTAGGGATTCCTATCAGCAGACTAACACGTGACATGGTTTTTGTAGGGATTCCTATCAGTGGACTAACACATGACATGGTTTTTGTAGGGATTCCTATCAGCGGACTAACACATGACATGGTTTTTGTAGGGATTCCTATCAGCGGACTCACAAATGACATGGTTTTTGTAGGAATTCCTATCAGCGGACTAACACATGACATGGTCTTTGTAGGGATTCCTATCAGCGGACTAACACATGACACGGTTTTTGAAGGGATTCCTATCAGCGGACTAATAAATGACATGGTTTTTGTAGGGATTCCTATCAGCGGACTAACACATGACATGGTTTTTGTAGGGATTCCTATCAGCGGACAAACACATGACATGTTTTTTGTAGGGATTCCTATCAGTGGAATAGCACGTGACATGGTTTTTGAAGGGATTCCTATCAGCGGACTAACAAATGACGTGGTTTTTGTAGGGATTCCTTTCAGTGGACCAACACATGACATGGTTTTTGTAGGAATTCCTATCAGCGGACTAACACATGACATGGTTTTTGTAGGGACTCCTATCAGCGGACTAACACATGACATGGTTTTTGTAGCGATTCCTATCAGCGGACTAGCACATGACATGGTTTTTGTAGGGATTCCTTTCAGTGGACTAACACGTAACATGGTTTTTGTAGGGAGTCCTATCAGCGGACTAACACATGACATGGTTTTTGTAGGGATTCCTACCAGCGGACTAACACATGACATGGTTTTTGAAGGGATTCCTATCAGCGGACTAACAAATGACGTGGGTTTTGTAGGGATTCCTTTCAGTGGACCAACACATGACATGGTTTAAGTAGGGATTCCTATCAGCGGACTAACACATGACATGGTTTTTGTAGGGATTCCTATCAGCGGACAAACACATGACATGGTTTTTGTAGGGATTCCTATCAGTTGAATAACATGTGACATGGTTTTCGTAGGGATTCCTATCAGCGGACTAACACATGACATGGTTTTTGTAGGGATTCCTTTCAGTGGACTAACACGTAACATGGTTTTTGTAGGGATTCCTATCAGCGGACTAACACATGACATGATTTTTGTAGGGATTCCTATCAGTGGACTTACACATGACGTGGTTTTTGTAGGGATTCCTATCAGCGGACTAACACGTGACATGGTTTTTGTAGGGATTCCTACCAGCGGATTAACACGTGACATGGTTTTTGTAGGGATTCCTACCAGCGGACTAACACATGACATGGTTTTTTGTAGGGATACCTCTCAGCGGACTAACACATGACGTGGTTTTTGTAGTGATTCCTATCAGCGGACTAACAAATGACATGGTTTTTTTAGGGATTCCTATCAGCGGACTAACACGTGACATGGTTTTTGTAGGGATTCCTATCAGCGGACTAACACATGACATGGTTTTTTGTAGGGATTCCTCTCAGCGGACTAACACATGACGTGGTTTTTGTAGGGATTCCTATCAATCAGCGGACTAACACATGACATGGTTTTTGTAGGGATTCCTATCAGTGGACTTAGGGAGATAGATATCCTGTTGAACCTTCGTCATGACAACATTGTGGAGTTACGAGAAGTTGCAGTCGGAAAAAGTTTAGACAGGTAAGTAGACGCATGAAAGTATAGATATAAAGACACACACAGATGTTTAGATAGGTAAGTAGACGTTGGGTTATTAAGATATGTAATTAGACTCACAAATGTTTAGATAGAAGTTTGAGTTAGTGGCACAGTGAAGACGGCAATTTTCAATTTTACAGTTGTAATTAGACATTTGGATATTTAATTAGATACATAAATGTCTAGAGATGCAACTAGAGATCTAGGTGAAAGTTTAGATAGGGTTTTAGACACAGGGGAGTTAAGGTAGTTCGTTACACTCATGGAGGTTTATAACTAAACACATAACTTTAGATAATGTATTAGATGTGCGAACATTTAGATATGTAGACACATAGAAATTTTGATATATTATATTCGTTGTGTACAAATATTTGTGGTTTTCGCGGTTGCTGTTGAACCATGAAAATAAATAAAACAAACTTGAATGATCATACATATCTACTGTTTGTTAATATAGAATATCCACGAATGTTTGTGCCACGAAAATATCTAAATGGCTTCAAACCACAGAGGAAAGTACCCACAAACATTTCCTGTTATATACAGTAAGACACATGTAAATTAAGATATTTATTTACATACTTGCAAGTGCATATGGGTAATAAGATACATGTACTTTAATATATATATATATGTTGTATAACTACAAGGGTATAATAGCTAGAGGTAAGACATGATAAAGTGTATTATCCCCCTTTACAGTATATTTCTGGTGATGGACTATTGTGAGCAGGACTTGGCATCACTTCTAGACAACATGTCGGCACCTTTCTCTGAAGCCCAGGTAAATATTCTAAATATCATGTTTGAAAATGTTTAAATATCTGAATTTTAAGAATAGAAATATAGAGTTTCCTGTCCAAAACTGTAAGATTTCACTGTGTTGTTCTATCTTCCATGCAAAAAGCTTAAGCTTGCACTATAAATTAGGCATTGAATAAAGACAACATTTCTAAAAGCAATCAATATTTTTTCCAGGTGAAGTGTATTATGATACAGGTGCTGAAAGGCCTGCGCTATATGCATGAAAACTTTATTGTCCACAGGTAAGTGTTTTTTGTGTATGTGTTATTTAAAAATATGTTGAAATTATAAATACTTTTTAGCCCACCATCATCTGATGGTGGGCTATTCAAATCACCTTGCGTCAGTGGTCCGTGGTCCGTACGTCCGTCGTCCATACTTAAACAATTCTTGTTATCGGTATTTCTCATCTCAAGAAGAATCAAAGGGATCTTTCTCAAATTTTATATGTAGGTTCCCTTTGGTCCTTAGCTGTGGAGGGCAACTTTTGAAACTGAACGGATAAACAACATGGCCGACAGGCAGCCATCTTTGATTTTGATAGTGAAAGTTTGTTATCGCTATTTCTCAGAAAGTACCAGAGAGATCTTTCTCAAATTTTATATGTAAGTTTCCCTTGTTGTTGCAGCAGTGCCTGAAATGGACGGTCATCTGCTCGCCAATGGCTGTTAAAGTCTTGCTCGAGCGACCAAAAGTTGTCAAAAGTGAGGTAGTCACTGGCCAAACAAAAATAGTTCGTGCGACTGTCGAAAAATTAATGAATAAAAGAAATTATAGTCCCTTCAACGTCAACTTGGGTACAGTTCATTTTTCAGGGTCTTAACTTCGATTTGAATCAAACTGTCTGTGATTTAGAAAATGTGATGATTTTTTTCTCTCCAGATTTTCTATATAAATACTGCCAGGGTGTTTTCTTTGAGGTGCAAGTTTTGTGTATTTCTTTTGGGAAGACCTGAATGGAGTGGATCATGTCAGGTTTTAACTAGGATTGAAGAATTAAAAACATAATGTTTAATTCTGTTTTACATATTACAAACATTGTCATGTTATATGTAATTTAAATGTGCTGAAGCATTGTGTTAAATGCTGTGGAAATATTTCTTCCAAAAATTATTTGGGCCACCAATATGTCATTTGGGCCAGTGCTTCAAATTTTTTACTCACATCAAAAAAATGTTTCAGGCCAGCCATTGCAGGTTCCCCACTATCCTTTATTGTTCATATTTACTTTTGAAGCTGATCAGTTAAACAAAATGGCCTACCGACAGCCATCTATGATTTTTGACATTGAAGGTTTGTTAGTACTATTTATCAGGAATAACTTGAGGGATCTTTCCCAAATTTGATATGTAGGTTCCCCTTGATCCCTCGTTGTGCATGTTATATTTGGAGACTGATCATAAAAACAAAATGACTGAAGGAAGAACTAAACAGATTTTTCTCATATTGCAATGATTGATTCTATTTCTTTCACATTAAGTACTGTACTAGTAAATATGTGAAATGACAAGCTCACTTTGAAGGTTGGCTTTCATACACATCAGTATTAAGTTTAGATCAAAAGTTACCTCAAGGTGTATTTACTGTTAACATGACTCGATCAAACAGATTAGACGAAAGAAGAGAAAAAATGGAACTGACAAAGAACTAGTGAAGATGGTACAATGGTGGGCGCCTAAATCCCTCTGGGATCTCTTGTTTTAATAGTTGTTTCAGTTTTGTGTATTCAATTTCATGTGTACTTACAACAAAGATGCATGGATTCTCCACCGCAGAAAGTTGATATTTATTTCATAGAACTTATCTTTACTCCCTAACAACGCATCTGTTTATAAAATATAACGGTACGGAGTAACATTGAGGATTATGTGCCTTACACTTTGCATTGATGAGTATCATGTAAATGCAGTTATTGTAGTTTGACAAAGTTCACTGACTAATAGATTACAAAAGGTGCATTTCATTCTAACAAAAAAAACCCCAAAAGTTGCCTTGCTTTTTCAGAGATCTGAAGGTGTCCAATCTTCTGATGACAGACAAAGGCAGTGTCAAAATAGGTAAGTTATACTACTGATTTAACCCTGTTTACAGGCTCTTCTCATTCACCCCTGAAGACACATTTTAACTCTTCCAACTCAAAGTTTGGAATAGTATCATTATGAAACTTCAGGGGTGACTGAGTTGGGGAAATTTAACTAGTGCTATAAAGAGTATTATAATAATAAACCTTTTAAACTTTATTTATTGAGGATTAAAAACCTGATTTAGCTAAAGGCTAATCTTCCTCAGGGTCCTCTATATTAGTATAATGTGTTAGTTTTACATAGTATTTCTTAAGACATAAGAATGCATAAAAACTTTATAGATAATGTATTATCAAAAGTGAATATCAAATGCTGGTAATACATATAAATCCTTTTCAAAAGCCTTGCTCATATTCTGACAAAACTTGTTTTTCCTGATGAATTATGTGATTTGTTGACTTTTTATTATTGTAATATGATGGGGATGGGGTTAAGAACACTGATGAATATTGATGGCAGGAGAGGTCAAGAGAAAAAGGGAAATTATATTCATTTGTTAAAGTAGATCTATTCAGTAAACCTAGAAAAGTACTTTATATTTTTCTGTCAGCTGACTTTGGCTTGGCAAGGAAGTATGGTCTACCCCTGAAGCCAATGACACCAAGAGTCGTTACTTTGTGGTAAGTCTAATTGACACCAAGAGTCGTTACTTTGTGGTAAGTCTAATTGACACCAAGAGTCGTTACTTTGTGGTAAGTCTAATTGACACCAAGAGTCGTTACTTTGTGGTAAGTCTAATTGACACCAAGAGTCGTTACTTTGTGGTAAGTCTAATTGACACCAAGAGTCGTTACTTTGTGGTAAGTCTAATTGACACCAAGAGTCGTTACTTTGTGGTAAGTCTAATTGACACCAAGAGTCGTTACTTTGTGGTAAGTCTAATTGACACCAAGAGTCGTTACTTTGTGGTAAGTCTAATTGACACCAAGAGTCGTTACTTTGTGGTAAGTCTAATTGACACCAAGAGTCGTTACTTTGTGGTAAGTCTAATTGACACCAAGAGTCGTTACTTTGTGGTAAGTCTAATTGATGTTAATCTCAACACATTTAATTTGTGTAAAAAGTACTCATAAATGTTTCGAAAACAGACCTCCTTCATAGAAGCTAAGTTATATATTTGATTAAAGTGTTTCTCAGCCAAATTAAATGGTTTCAAATTGTGATATTAATATGGTACTAGCTATTAGATGCCATCCTATGTATTATCTAGAAAACTCCTTATATTTAAATTATCTATCTTTTCTTCATTTTTCTGAAAATGTTTAATTGGAAAGCAGCTTATATTATTGATATGCAAATATTACAGAAAGCATTACAGTAAATATGCTCATATTTTATGTTCCTGCAAGTGTGTTCATTAGATACAGAACACCAAATATTGACCACCTTCAAATTCAGTATACAGTGTACATATTTACCGTAAACAATTCCTGCCTTGTCAGTTTCCTGAAATCAATACGGTTATATCATATATAACTAAAACATTTTGATAGTACATTGTGTATTTTTGGGTATGTGGTATCATCAGGTACAGAGCACCAGAACTACTGCTGGGCACCAAGGAGCAGACAGTGGCCATAGACATGTGGTAAGTACATTTCCTTAATAGGAACTTTTTAGAAATAAATGTAAAAGGCATTCGTTTGAGCTCAATCAGTTTTTATTTTGTGACTCTTTGTAAAAACAAATATATTTTTCTAGATTATTTAATAAACAGATTTTGGTAAGGATTAAAGCACGTCCAGAGTGTAGATCTACAGAACTATTAAAGTCTATGCACGTCCAGAGTGAAGATCTACAGAACTATTAAAGTCTATGCACGTCAAGAGTGTAGATCTACAGAACTATTAAAGTCTATGCACGTCCAGAGTGTAGATCTACAGAACTTTTAAAGTCTATGCACATCCAGAGTGTAGATCTACAGAACTATTAAAGTCTATGCACGTCCAGAGTGTAGATCTATAGAACTTTTAAAGTCTATGCACGTCCAGATTGAGATCTACAGAACTATTAAAGTCTATGCACGTCCAGAGTGTAGATCTACAGAACTATTAAAGTCTATGCACGTCCAGAGTGTAGATCTACAGAACTATTAAAGTCTATGCACGTCCAGAGTGTAGATCTACAGAACTATTAAAGTCTATGCACGTCCAGAGTGTAGATCTACAGAACTATTAAAGTCTATGCACGTCCAGAGTGTAGATCTACAGAACTATTAAAGTCTATGCACGTCCAGAGTGTAGATCTACAGAACTATTAAAGTCTATGCATGTCCAGATTGAGATCTTCAGAACTATTAAAGTCTATGCAAGTCCAGAGTGTAGATCTACAGAACTATTAAAGTCTATGCACGTCCAGAGTGTAGATCTACAGAACTATTGTTGATGTTGTTTTACAGGTCTGTGGGATGTATCTTTGGCGAGCTGCTGGCACACCGCCCCCTGTTACCAGGGCGATCAGATATCCATCAAATAGAACTCATCATTGAGATGTTCGGCACACCCAGTGAAGCTATCTGGCCTGTAGGTATTTTTTGAATGAAAACAACAATGATCAGTGAATTCAAGTATGTGTGACCAGTCTGTAAGATAGTGAACATTCAACAAAAATGAATTGTCTACTAATACGTGATGTATTTCTCTCTTGCTTTTACAGGGTTTCGATGAATTACCTGTGTTAGAAAATATCAGTCTGAAGAAGCAGCCGTAAGTAATATCAAATGCTCTCTCTATTTGTTGCTTGTGTACTAGCATAGAATAAATAAAATAAAATGAGTATTCAAGTGCATAATTAATGTGGTTATGATCGAGGTTAAAAAATTCATACAAGTACAGCAATTTAAAATATAACTTTTCCTGTCTTACCAACGGTCAGTAGGGTGGCGCAGTGATTACACACTCGCCATTCACCATTCGATTGCCCGATTGGATCTGAAAAGGGGTTCACCCGCCAGACCACATGGGTTTACTCAGGTAACTCCAGTTTACGCCCACATTTAGACCCCAAGCGAGCTAATATCCAGGCCAACAAGAGTAATTAATATAAGTTAAAATAACTTGTTTCATAATTGTCGTAAAATAAATGAGGTTTATATAAAATATTGAATAGATGTTTTTTGTGATGGAAATAAAAAATTAAAACATTTGTTTTCCAGGCTTTCTTGTGTTGAAATAACTTACGGGTATATTGTCTGTTACAGGTATAACAATCTAAAACACATGTTTTCCTGGCTTACTGACGCTGGAATACGACTTCTCAACTTCCTGTTTATGTATGACCCACTGAAACGGTATGTAGAGCTGTGAAGGTGTAGGATAAAGAATTGGTCTGCTGTGTGTCATTGCATGGCTGTGAGAAGCAACAAATGCTGGCACATGAGATCTGCAGAATCAGTGGGTTGCTTTGATATAAATACTAAAGACAGCTTTGATGAACTGTACCCTTTGTAATATCATGTTTTCCCTTTCTGCTGTTCTAAAAATAAATGTAACAACAATTTTTTAATAATAAACCTTATAAATACATTATGAATTTTGTTTGATGATACAATTGATAAATAAGGTATTAAAATCACTTTGTCTGACTCGACAGGGCCTCAGCTGAAGACAGCTTAGACAGCTCATACTTCAAGGAGCAGCCGTATCGTAAGTGTTATTGGCCTGAACTATGTACAATATCATGCTTAATTATGTCTCCTCTACGAATAAAGGGAGACATATTGTATTAGTACTGGTGCTTCTGATTCTTCTCGTTCTTCTGGTTCTTTAATCACAACTTGTCCGAGCCATATATTTTAAATCGTTAAAGATATCATGAACAAACTTGAAGTATACCTGCATCACCCACAGAAGGTGTGCAGTGCACTGGAATTAGGTCTTGTGCGCTACTATATACAGAGTTATGGCCCTTTGTTTATTTCTAATACTGAAGTTTGTCCGGAGCATAAGTTCCATGTTATTTCACCTACGTTGACCAAACTAACCATATTTATGTATCTTGGGGAGGCGAAATCTCTCGCACTGACATCAGGTTTTGTGCCCCACTATATACAGAGTTATGACCCTTAGTTTATTTTTAATACCAAAGTTTATCCACAGCGTAACTTCTAAACCGTTAAAGATATCTTGATTAAACTTGAAGTATACCTGCATCACCCACAGAAGGTGTGCAGTGCACTGAAATTAGGTCTCGTGCCCCACTATATACAGAGTTATGTCCCTTTGTTTATTTTCAATACTCAAGTTTGTACGGAGCATAAGTTCCATGATATTTCACCTACGTTGACCAAACTTACCATATTTTTGTTCACAAAAACAAATTTATAGTCATTGTTTAAACTAAATTTTGTTTTGAATCAATTCTATCACACAATCTGATTAAATTTTCTTAAACAATTTTAATTAAATGTAATTGCTTGGTCCAAATGTATGGGATAACACTGCAGTAATTTTTGTCTCTTGATAGATAGTGACTGTCCCCTATCTATTTGATTGAATACTTCAAAATTTGTCAAAAGTTGAAAACTTGAAAAAATGAAAATTACTTGTTATTCTTCAAAAAAATCAAAATATCTTAAGTATTTATTATGCAATTGGTCAGCCTGTTTGCATAACGAACATGCCCTTTGAGAGAGAAGGATCATGCTACAGGTCCCTACAGACACTTCTGGCCATTTCCATTTTCCCTGAGCCATTAGAGTGGTGCAGTAATTGCTATGTGTATTACTTTGACATGCAGCCTGTGACCCAGAGCTGATGCCAACCTTCCCCCAGCACAGACTCAAGAGAAAGGCAGCACCCGGAGAAAAGTCAGAGGAAAGGTGAGAGGTTAATTGCTTAATACATACAAATGTATATACCTGTTTGACGTAAAGGTTTAATAAAGAAAAGGCTGAGAAACATGTTCCTGGTGATTTTTCCAGAATTGGGAATTGTGTACCCCTCCCCCTCCCTCCTAAATTTTAGTATTCTGCCTACACATATAATACTTCTAATACCCACATTTTTAGCCCACCATCAACTGATGGTGGGCTATTCAAATCACCCTGCGTCCGTGGTCCGTTGTCCGTCCGTCATCCTTCCTTAAACAATTCTTGTTATCGGTATTTCTCAAGAAGTACCAGAGGGATCTTTCTCAAATTTTCTATGCAGGTTCCCCTTGGTCCTAAGCTGTGCAGGGCAACTTTTGAGACTGATCAGATAAACAAAATGGACGACAGTCAGACGTCTTGGATTTGATAGTGAAAGTTTGTTATCGCTATTTCTCAAGAAGTACTTAAGGGATCTTTCTCAAATTTTATATGTAGGTTCCCCTTGATCATTAGCTGTGCAGGGCAACTTTTGAGACTGATCGGATAAACAACATGGCCGACAGGCAGCCATCTTGGATTTTGATATTAAAGTTTGTTATCGCTATTTCTCAAGAAGCACCAGAGGGATCTTTCTCAAATTTTATATGTGGGTTCCCCTTAGTCCAAAGCTGTGCAGGGAAACTTTTGAGACTGATTGGAGAAACAACATGGCCACAGGCAGCCATCTTGGATTTTGATTGTGAAAGTTTGTTACCGCTATTTCTCGAGAAGTACAGAAGGGATCTTTCTCAAATTTTAAATGTAGGTTCCCCTTGATCATTAGCTGTGCAGGGCAACTTTTGAGACTGATCGAATAATCAACATGGCCGAGAGGCAGCCATCTTGGATTTTGATATTGAAAGTTTGTTATCGCTATTTCTCAAGAAGCACGTGAGGGATCTTTCTCAAATTGTATATGTAGGTTCCCCTTGGTCCTAAGCTGTGCAGGGCAAATTTTGAGACTGATCAGATAAACAAAATGGACGACAGGCAGCCGTCTTGGATTTTGATAGTGAAAGTTTGTTATCGCTATTTATCAAGAAGTACTTAAGGGATCTTTCTCAAATTTTATATGTAGGTTCCACTTGGTCCTAAGCTGTGCAGGGCAACTTTTGAGACTGATCAGATAAACAAAATGGACGCCAGGCAGCCGTCTTGGATTTTGATAGTGAAAGTTTGTTATCGCTATTTCTCAAGAAGCAATTAAGGGATCTTTCTCAAATTTTATATGTAGGTTCCACTTGGTCCTTTGCTGTGCAGGGCAATTTTTGAGACTGATCGGGTAAACAACATGGCCGACAGGCAGCCATCTTGGATTTTGATGTTAAAAGTTTGTTATCGCTATTTCTCAAGAAGCACCTGAGGGATCTTTCTCAAATTTTATATGTGGGTTCCCCTTAGTCCAAAGCTGTGCAGGGAAACTTTTGAGACTGATTGGAGAAACAACATGGCCACAGGCAGCCATCTTGGATTTTGATTGTGTAGGTTTGTTATCGCTATTTCTCCGGAAGTACGGGAGGGATCTTTCTCAAATTTTAAATGTAGGTTCCCCTTGATCCCTCGTTGTGCATGTTATATTTTGAGACTGATCATAAAAACAAAATGGATTAAAAGAAGAACTAAACAGATTATTCTCATATTGCAATGATTGATTCTATTTCTTTCTTATTAATTACTGTACTAGTAAATATGTGAAATGACAAGCTCACTTTGAAGGTTGGCTTTCATACACATCAGTATTAAGTTTAGATCAAAAGTTACCTCAAGGTGCATTTACTGTTAACATGACTCGATCAAACAGATTAGAGGAAAGAAGAGAAAAGATCGAACTGACAAAAAACTAATGAAGATGGTACAAAGGTGGGCGCCAAGATCCCTCTGGGATCTCTTGTTTTCAAACCCAGAGAAAACATGGTTCCTGGCTATAAAGGATATTTATTTAGAGATAAGGGCTATTTTTCATAGCTTTGACTTGATAGAGTTTGCTAATCTTTTTTTATAATCTGCTATTTTAGTCTTTGTTGGCTAGAATTCTAACGAACCGATGTTGTAGGGGGTTTGTAACAAAAATAAGTTAATTCATTCAGCCACCTTTTTAAAAGGTACAGTGACTGTATATATCACAGTGGGTAGTGTGTTAGCTTATTGAAAGCAAAATATTGCAGCTTTTGTTTCAGTAGATGATGGAATGTGGTTGTGTCCTTAATCAAGATATTTTAGCATTGTTTTTCATCTCTACCTGCCTAGAGTGGAGTGCAGATGTACTAAAGGGGTTGATGTGGAATTCTGCTCGAATAAAGCTGCTCATACGCTCTCCTGATCGAATAAATACTGCCATCTCTTGAATAGTAAATGTCATTTCATTTTATTAAGATTACATAGAGCTTAAATTAAAATGTTATGTAGAAATTATGAAAAGACTGGGTTACATCGTGGGAATCTGTCTCTTAAAATACTGGCTAGATAGTGGGACAGTCACATTGAGACTGTATTGTGTTTGTGCTGCATGTCCACTTTCCACATCCTGATTGCTATCCTATAAACACAAGTTTTGTATGCTGATATTTAAGCCTTTATATATGGGATATTTAAGATAATTAACACATTTGCTTCAAATTAAAAGAAATTGGAATAACTTACCGGTTGAAGTACGACTCTCTTCCTCCTTGACAAATATTTTACTTTTAACCACTTCTTCTTAATAACCAAAAGGCCTAGGGTGATGATATTTGGCCAGCAGCAAACTGCGATGAAGGGCTACAGAGTTTGTTAAAATTAATGGCCTTCACCCATTTTCAAGGTCACAGGGGTCAAATATGTTAAAAACTTTAAACAACTTCTTCTGAATAACTAAAATGCACAGGGTGATGATATGTGGCCAGTAGCATGCTGAGATGAAGGGCTACAAAGTTTGTTCAAATGAATGACCTTCACCCATATCCAATGTCATAGGGGTCAAATATGTTAAAAACTTCAAACAACTTCTTCTGAATAACCAAAAATGCCCAGGGTGATGATATTTAGTCAGTAGCATACTAGGATCAAGGGCTACCAAGTTTGTTTAAATGTATGACCTCACAAGGAGCAAATATGTTCAAAATATTAAAAAAAATTAAACAACTTGTTCTGAATAACCAAAAGGCTCAGGATGTTGATATTTAGTCAGTAACATGCTGGGATCAAGGACTACTATGTTTGTTAAAGTGAATGACTTTGACTTATATTCAAGGTCACAGGGGTCAAATATATTTAAATCTTTAAACAACCTCTTCTGAATAACCATGGGTCCCAGGATGTTGATACTTTGCAAGTTGCATCCTGAGATGAAAGGCTATAAAATTTGTTCAACATAATGACTTTGTTCGACTTTCAATCACAGGGGTTAAATGTTTAAAAAAACCCAACAGGTTCTTTTGAATGAATTTTAATCATAAATACTGATATTTTATTTTGCCTGTAGCTTTATTTTAGATCACTTTTAAGGTTACAAGTGTGAGATTTATACTAGGTGAGCGATGCAGGCCCATTGCGCCTCTTGTTACTATTATACTTTTTAGATACAGCTTTGATTTGTTTTATTTTCGCTATATTAGCGTGTATTCTGTCATTTTTTTTTAGCATTTGCTACATTAGCATATATGTAAATTAGACAATTTGTCTTTTAATGAAAACCATTAAGGGTTAAGCACGGAATATATTTCGTTGCTTCTGTGATAATTAATTTTATTGTAATTGTATTGAACGACCGTTTAAATTATGAAATAACTGTGATATGAATTGCTGTTTTTAGTAAGACCAACAATTATGTCTTAGTAGCAACGGTGATAATTATTTGATGTACATTTATTTGCTGTGATACTACTTTGTCTTTTTACTAACCAATTTTACTAACAGAGGACCCTGTGGAAGATTAGCTTTGCTAAACAGCTTTTGTATCCTCAATAAATAAAGTTTATTATTATTATTATTATTAAATCAAAATATGAAGATATACCATTGTGGTATATGATGTTATTTGATATGTTTGGTGGCTGATTGAAAAATATATATCATTAAAAGTATTCCTTTGTCATTTTCAGAAAACAAAAGAGGAACTCTGGATCCTTTCAAGACTTTGGTAATACATCATCTGTAAGTATTAAAGACTTGTTGTTGTAGTAGAGTTATTTCCCTTTTTGCATGCTGCCATGTTGTGTTGGTGTCTCAGGGGTTATCTTTCTTCTTATGTAATAATACATTGTATATTAGCCTTCAATGTTAACTGGTAAATCTTTGCAGCAGTGTCTTTATCCTCTGTGATGTCGGTGAATTTATGATCATGATCACAATAAATATAAGCACAGACTAATCATCCAGAGTTATTACATGTGACTGAAGTGTGAAATTAAAGCTGAAACAATATATGAGTTCTTACCAGTGTTGGGTGAATATTTTGCTTTGCCAAATTTTCCTGTAGACATGATCAGACTGGAGTTTGCTTTAAAGTTAAATTTAAGTGAAACGTCTTTGACTCTAAAGCAATGTGTATGATGTAAATTGAAAGACTACCTAAAACTGAATGTAAATAGAGGTAAATTCTCTGTTGATATAATAAAATAATCTGTATACTAGTTGTACCTGTAATATGTAAATGAAAGAAAGGCAACCAGAATAATAATTTATCAATGAATCGACGGTACCATGTATAATGATATGGAAAATGAAAGTAGACATACCTTTTGTACAGTATTTATTGTAACACATCTTATATTTCGTTCCGCTACAAATGTTTAGTCTGTAATATTTACCACGATGCGCACGCATCAGGTCAGAGAATAAACAGTCGTCCATGATTGATGTTGTTTGAGTTTCCCATCCAGCATCCAGCCGGTAGTTTAGATGATTACATCTATAGAGTCAGTGCGGACATGAAACATGGTGTCATGTTGAGTTAAATAATATTGACATAAAAAAGAGAGAACTAGAAAAGTTAAGAAAGCATAAATTAATGGGCAATATGATACGTTCTCGAACAAAATGGATAATTGAAGGAGAGAAGCCAACTAGGTACTTTTGTGGACTAGAATCTAGAAACTTCACCAGTAAAATTATTCCAAAGATAGAAAAAGATGATGGTATAGTGATTTTAGAACAGACAGAAATTCTAAATGAAACAAAACTTTTTTATGAAAATTTGTACAAAAGAAATACTGCTATACAGGATGTAAACTTAGAGGACTTGTTTAATCCATATGATATACCTAAATTATCTCCCCTGGAATCATTATCATTAGAAGGACAAATAACTATATCTGAAATGGCAAAAACACTAATGAAAATGAAGGATAATAAAAGTCCTGGTTCTGACGGCTTCTCTGTTGAATTTTTTAAAGTATTTTGGAAACAACTTGGGCATTTCATTGTCAGGTCAATTAATTTTGGTTATTCAGTTTCAGAAATGTCAGTCACTCAAAAACAAGGAATTATAACATGCATCCCAAAAGGCGACAAACCCCGTAATAAACTAAAAAATTGGCGTCCCATCACACTTCTCAATACTATTTATAAGATGGCATCCGGCACGATAGCAGAAAGACTCAAAACTATAATAACTAAATTAATTAGCAACAGTCAAACTGGTTTTATTCCAGGTAGATATATTGGAGAAAATACACGTTTAATTTATGATTTAATGCATTATACTGAAGAAAATGACATACCTGGTCTTCTATTGTTAATTGATTTTGAAAAAGCTTTTGACTCTGTGTCTTGGAATTTTATTACAAAAACTTTAAATTTCTTCAATTTTGGACCATCACTTATTAACTGGATCAACCTTTTTCAAAAAAATATACGCTCTGCAGTTAACATAGGAGGGAACTTATCCATTTTTTTCACTATCGAGCGTGGATGCCGTCAGGGGGACCCTGTTTCTTCATATATTTTTATCTTATGTGCTGAAATTTTATCGATTCTGTTAAGAAATAATTCTGATATCAGCGGTATTGTTGTAAATAACAGAGAAATTCTTTTATCACAGTTTGCTGATGATACGTCTGTTATCCTTGACGGTTCAGAAAAATCTTTAAATGTAACGCTACAACAACTTAACTATTATGCCAGAATTTCAGGTCTTAAAATGAATTTCACCAAGACCCAGGTAATCTGGATAGGCAGTGAAAAATATAGTAATAATAAATATACAACAGAGCAAAATCTTTTGTGGGGAAGTGCACGTTTTAATTTGCTAGGCATTGAATATGATGTTGATTTACATAGAGTAGTTAAATTAAACTTTGATAAGAAACTTGTTAAACTTAAATCTCTCATAAGTTCGTGGAATAGAAGAAATCTCACTCCAATAGGTAAGATAACCATTATTAAAACATTGCTAATTTCACAATTTAATCATCTTTTTATAGCTCTTCCAAACCCACATGACTCTTATATAAAAAAA